CTCAGGTAAGGATGGTAGTTACTTTTCCAAAAGGACATCAGTGAACCAGATGGAGATTTCTGAAAATCAACAGTCTCATGTCATCATTAGATTCTTAATTCCATAGTTTTTTTAAACTCAAATTCCATTATCTGCCCTGGCAGGATTTGCACCAGAGTCCTCAGAACATTATAAAAAACAAAAGAACTGTGGGTGCTGTAATCAGAAACAAAAACAGAAATTGCTGGAAAAGCTTAGCAGGTCTGGCAGTAAGTTCTGAGGAAAGTTCAGCCGAAATGTTAACTCTGATTTCTCTTCACAGATGCTGCTAGACCTGTTAAGCTTTTCCAGCAACTTCTGTTTTTGGTCCTTGGAACGTTACCTGGTTCTCTGAGTTAATGGGCTGGCAATAATACAGCTAGGCCATTGCCTCCCTGCTGAGTAGTAAGCTTTTTAGCCTGTAGGCTTAGGCTTTAGACGAGTAGGCTTTTTTAAAATATTCAATCATAAGACGTGTTACCCATCTCTAGTTGCCCTCGAGAAGTTGGTGGTGACCTCTGCATTGAACTGCTAGAGTCCATGTGCTTTAGGTAGCCCCATAGTGCTTTAGAAAGGGAATTCCAGGGATTTGACCCAGCAACAGTGATAGAACGGTGACATATTTCCTAGTGAGGATGACGAGTCGATTAGAGTGGAACTCGCTGTTGATGTTCCCATTTATTCGCAGCCTTCGTCCTTCTAGATAGAATCTTCTAAACCCACAACTATGACTGTCTACGGAGCCTTGCTTATTTCCTCCAATGCATCTTGTAGGTGGTACACACTGCTGATGCTGAGCGTCAGTGGTGGAGAGAGTGGATGTTTGTGGATATGGTGCCAATTTGCAGGGCTACTTTGTCCTTGGTGATTCAAGCTTTTTGAGCATTGTCCGAACTGTATTCATCCAGGCAAGTGGGGAGTATTCCGTCACACTCCTGACTTGTACCTTGTAGATGGTAGTCAGGCTTTGGGGAGTCAGGTGAGTTGTTCACTGCAGGGTTCAGAGCTTTTGACCTGCTCTTGTAGCCACAGTATTTACCTGGCTAGTCCAATTCAGTTTGTTGTCACTGGTAACTACCAGGATGATGATAATGGGAGATTCAGCATTAGCAACAACATTGAATGTCAAAGAATAATAGTTACATTCTCTCTTGTTGGAGACATCATTGCCTGGCACTGATATTTGTCATTTTTCAGCCACATCTGGTACATCCTTAAAAACCAGGGGAAAATGGAAAGGGGGGTCAGGGGATGTGAGTGAGATAGCAGCAACAGCTGTGGCACTGAGCCCAGCATTTTAATCTTAAGGACTGGGGCTGGTGGTTCTTGGCAAGGGGGAGAAAAATTGTAAAAGAGGGCAGCAAGATGATGAAGGAGGCCAAACTGTAATGGCTGGGAAGTGTGTAATTGATGGGTGGGTGGGTGGCTGTGGTGTTTATCCACGCTGAAGGGCAACCTGGCTTCAACATGGGCAGAGGGGAATATGAATGACCACACAAGGCATGATCACCTCATATTCCAGGCTGTTGATGGGAAGGATAGGCAGGAGTTGCCAAATGTCAGTGGATTCAATGTGTTGAGTGGGGTCTTGTGGACGTGTGAATCCTATGAGGTTACAGGATGGGCTACTGGGAAGGGGGTCACAGTCAAGTTGAGGCTTGAAATCACTGACAGAGAAGCAGTCACATTGAGCTGGAAGTCAATGGGAAGAAAATGGCTGTGACTACGCTCAGAGTGGACAGGGGAATGACACAACCTGTGAGAGAGGGGGCACACACCATTCAGAGGGTTTTTGAAGGAGACAATGTGTCACATACCCCTTAAAGGTCTAGCACACAGGCACACAGGTGCCTACACATTGGTTGTCCTACTGACCCTGTCTTGTGGGTAGCATCTCCCTGGCACAGCCACTGTTGGAGAACTCTTTGGCAGCTACACCTTTGTGGCACAGAGTCAGCCGAACATTAGGGAACTTCATTTAAGGAGGTCTAAAGGTTTCAGCAGCACCCATTGCCATGTGTTTGCATTGCCCCCCTGCTTGTAGCTGATATAGTAGGCTGTTAGCATTAATCACAGTCCATTTGCCCACTGCTGCTGGATGGCGTGACAATGCATTGAGTGTCTGCACAGGGTCACTCAAAAGCAGATGCTTGAAAGTTAAAGTGAACAACATAATTGTACACAATTCGAGTAACAAGAAAGCCTTCTTCACTGGCAGCAAAGTGCTCTCAATAGGTTTTTTTCTTTCTCTCTTTCCAATTCTATCTCAGTGCACTCACTAGTTCCGCAGCTGACATGGAGGAAGCCTCTTAGATATCTGCTACTTACAAAGAAGTAGCAAAACATTGTAAGATATATAGCTATGCTCATGCATCATTTGCATATAAGCTGCTCCTTTAACCAGTTCCTGAGAGATTGAACAATTAGTGTGCCATCCACCCTGCGTCTTCAGTTAAGAACTGAAGGGACTTGGAAAGAAGCGGATCAAAGCTCAGAAGAACGCATAATGAGCATAAAGACACCACACTGTACCCCACAGAATTGTGTTCCCTGAATATTTTTTCCATCCATATTATCTAAATTTATTTTTGCCTGTGTCTGTGTCCGTGTTTGTCTGTTTGGTTTAAAAAGGAGTATAATAAGTTACAGAGTTACAAGTTGATCATTCATATTTTGTTTGCCAGTGGCTAGAACAGATTTATTTGTAACAAATACTAAATTCTTGTTAGGCACAGAAACTTGATCAGTGTTTTCTTTTAACCTGAGTTCATCAGATGGGAAAATAGAGGATTTTGAGTAACTTGATTAAATCTTTAATTTTTGTGATGACCCCAAGAATAGTGGCGCTCAAGTATTGTAAACTCTTGTGACAATATCCCACTGACATTTCTGTCGTCCAAAGTAGTCCAAAGAACTAGACCTGACATTACGGGAACATTAGGGGAGGCGATGGCCTAGTGGTATTATCACTGGACTGTTAATCCAGAGACCCAGATACCGTTCTGGGGACCGGGGTTTGAATCCTGGCACAGCAGATGGTGGAATTTGAATTCAATAAATATCTGGAATTAAGAATCCAATGATGACCATGCATTCATTGTCGATTGTCAGGAAAAACCCATCTGGTTCACTGATGTCCTTTAGGGAAGGAAACTGCCATCCTTACCTGGTCTGGCCTACATGTGACTCCAGACCCACAGCAATGTGGTTGACTCTGAACTGCCCTCTGGACAATTAGGGATTGGCAATAAATGCTGCCTGGCCAGCGATGCCCTCATCCTGTGAATGAATAAAGAAAAAAAAATGTCCAATGGAAAATGGTGTTACCATTGTTTTCACAGCAACTTGACCTTGTTTTGAATATATTCACAGTGTTCTTTATTTCAGATGAAGACTTCCATTACTTTCTTCAGAAATGGTCAGACTTTAGTCTTACACCAAACTCCTAGTGAGAACTATTTCTTGCTCTGCTATGGCTGCCCACACCTGGAAGCAATCATTTAGCAAAATAAAATTTAATTTGTTTGTCATTGGCAGAGATTTGATAACACTTCAGTTGCTTATTCTTTCTACCAATGTGTAATTCATGCTCTAGGAAAACCTAGAACTTGGAAGGTGTAGGAAAGTTCAAGATAATAACAAGATAAAATCACTCCCGGTACTTAATTGTTCCCAACATATAACAATTCTTTGAATCTCAGAAACCAGAAAGCCTGTTTTGTTTTGTTTCATTTTTGAGTCGCTAGATAAAATGACCTGGCCATCCATCAAACATGTAAGTTTTGCAGTTGGACAGGCACTGAAACCCTTACAACCGAACAGAATGTATCTATTGCTCCTTTTGTGATGGTTACAAGGGTTAAAATTTGTTTTTAATATTATGTTGTCAAAATTATTAGGGCTATAATTTCTTTTGCATTTCAATGAGTTGACTGAATACTTTCTCTCACAGAATAAGTGAAAGTGTTTTTTAATAATTTTATTGAATAACAATGTTGTGTTTCATAGCTCCTCGCATTAGTATGGGTACGGAAGGCAATGGAGTGCATCTTCTCAAAACATGACCTAAGCTGGCTTGATGGTACAATGCCCGAGAAAGAGAACAAAGTACTGGAAGATAAGAAGGCAGAGAAAGCAGTTTCAAGCAATGAAAGTGAAGACGTGAGTAATTTTTGTTCATTTTATCTTAATACAGAAATTTTACAGACGTGAAACTTGAGATCTTTGCAGCCACCTAGTGGCAATTTAATCCCCCTCATACTGGAAGCAGGTTGTGATTAAGTTGAGCAATTATTTTTCTTCAACAGATGTATTTTAGTATTATTTCTAAGAATCAAACAGTAGCTTAGAATTTGATTAAATCATGGCTCTTCTCTAACGTCTGAGCACAGTTCAGCCATGTGCATGTTCTGATCTGACAACACGCAAAAGCTCCAGTACAAAAATGATCATTTAAAAGTATCTTTGCCACAGTGTCACGAAAATGTCTTCTGCTCCAAAAAACACAATCATACTAATTATTGTGAATCTTTCATGTCAACACCTGAATCATTTGTAAAGATGAACATTATATATATAACGTCTGCACTGCTGCGCTACTCCAGAACATAAAAGGGAATTTTGCCTGTTTTTGAAGTTGAAATTTTTAGTGTAAATTCAAAAGAAAAATGTCTGCTAACTGCTCTGAATGACAATCATATATGATGAGTAAAATTCCAGCATTAAGCACTGCAGTTCTGTTTAGTAGTGAAGTGGTAGTGTTCTTCTTTAGGGAAGTTGACCAAGTGTAATTACCTTGTGTTTCCAAAATATGCTGGAAAGATTTGTGCAGAATTTTGACTCTTGTGAAAAGCCACTAATAATCACCCTTGTAAGAAAATTCTACGTGAATTTTGATGTTTCAGCTGTGGAGGTTTTATTGTGTAGGAGAACATGGCAGTTATTTGCAACATGAGCCTCAAATTTAACTTTGGGTATGTTCAGGGAAGGGCATCAAATAAACCTCTTTGAGTATCTGAATACGAGGACCAGGTCATTCTATTGGCCAGATCTAATTGATATTTTTCTGTGCTCTATCCTGCCGGAAGCCACTGGGAATGATATAAGAGCCAGTGATAGGAAATTGAGTAAGGGATTGATGCTAATCAGGACCAATAGCCAGCAGAGTAAATTTGGGGAGTGGCGAATGGTTTGAGTTACACACGGGGAATAAAGAAAGGGAATGCCAGTGAAGAGGAAGACCGAGGCTTCTAATTTTGGTGCTCTTGCTTCTCCTGGTCCACAACAAGCCTTAAGAAAATGTAAAAATGGGCTTCCACTGGCCTGATGCTACCACCAACTTGTTCACACTCCATGTATGATCAAATTCCAGAATTTAATATTGTATTGCATCCTATCTCAGTGCAGATAAAGCTGTTGTAACTGTTATGAGCTCATAGTCTTGCTTGATGTGAACATTCATTGAACTGAGTGTAGGATGGATGTTTGCAGTGAGAGCCTTGTGGTAGAGGTCACATGACAATGGAAAACCAGGAGCCACATTCATACAGCATCACATTTCAATCTCCTTTTCAATACAAAGAAACAAAATTACATGCATTATCATTCACACTATGAGTCACCTAAATTACTCATTATGCACAAAACTGTACTCATGTATTCACAGTTCATTCTTCTCATCAGTCTCTGCAGATGCATAGTCTTTAAATCATGTCAGTCCCTTAATGGTGTTTATGTGTGTTGTCATTGCCTATTCATCTAGGTGATACTACTTCACCAGGAAGCATAATTCCGCCTCACTTATTGCTGAGGTAACTGTTAATTCTGTTGTTGGAATGCTGTTGAACTATGGGGGACTGATGGTTGATCTGGACAGCGTTTACTTGTTACTTCCTCTGGCTTCAGTAGCATTTTTTGCTATTGAAAGAGTAGTTTGAGGAGTGGCATGACATTAGCCTTTGCAATGTGTTGCTTTCCATGCTTTCTCTACAGACATACTTTCACTGCAGGATCTCTTATGCCTAATACAACCCTCTCTTTAATTAGGTCACTTTTAAACTTGTGCAAATTCACTGGATTCTGCAAGCTATGCTAGTACAGTTGCGTAATGATGAATTTGCGATGGTCCTAATATTATTATGACAATGAGGACAGTAAATCAAATCAAATCAGTCTCCCTATCTCTATATTCACAGCACAGTTAAACTCAAGCATGCAATGTCCCTCAAAATTGGCCCAAGGTTTCCTAACCAAATTTTAAGAATGACAGACATCATACACCAGGTTTCTAGGTCAAACACAAATTAACAATTTATTATAAGTACTGTAACTTTACCAGAGCAATACTAAACAAGGTACTCTAATTCCTGTCTATGATTTAAACCCAATCTTCCTTGAAAGTAGCCGCCACTCGCACCAAATAGACAGACACAGTTAAGGGATAAATTGAAAGAAACCTAAAGGAGATATAACTGGAAAGTTCACTTTAGTATTTTCAATGATGCATTGTTTCACAGGCACATGGAATTGTATCTTGCTTGATTTCTGACGACACTGTTCAATGCAAATAGCTTCCGGTAGACTCCAAGGAATATTCATTTATTTCTTATAACTGGTATTCTATTCTTCAAACTTCTAATATATTGATAATGAGAGGATAACTAGAGCCAAAACTCCAGCAGGTTTCACAATCACAGCCTTTCTGTCTGAAAACACAGTTCAAGCCAGTTCAAACTTTGGTTTCTTTTTATGTTTTTTCCAACATTCTTTTTATTAGAATTGTTGGCACAGGCCTCCCTGTTATGGTCCCTTTTAACATCCAAACATTTGCCAGCCTTTGAGCATAATGCATCTCCTGAGCTAAAACATCTACAATCTTCTTTTGAATAATAATCCATCTGCAATTAACTTCCCAGGCCGGTTTATTTTATAGATGTGTTTGTTCTTTCCTTTCTTAAAGAAAAAGCAAGCTAGCTGCTGCTATCAGTTCAAATGTCACCATCAATCCACAGCTCACCATTCCAACAAAAATGAGAAAAATAATGAAGATCTCAACAATATTGAACTTATACCCTTCAAAAGTTGTGATCAGTTGGGGTTCAAGGCATGCCTTCAGGGCTTTCAAAATTTCTGATTTTTTTGTTCTTCGGAGAGATTAAGGGTGGAATACACTTTGTAACAATCTCTGCCCAACAATGATGGAAGAGTAGCTACTTGTAGGTGCTCTAGTTTGTTAACTAAACGTGTTACAATTTTGTATTAATGACCTTGTGTGTGGAAAAACTGCCAATTCTGCTTCATATGACCTCTCCTTTCAAATGGCGCTGGGAGAGAGAAAATTTCAGCCATTTATTTCTTACCCAGTACTTTCTTCTGTAACTTGCTTTTTTGTTTCCTCTTTTGTGGTTTCCTGTGGATTTTGGCTACTCTCAGCAGCTCTGAGCAATCCTATGTTCCTATCTTTAGTAGCTGTGCTTCTGTTGAGGTCTTCAACACTCAATCTCGGCTCGACTCCGACAAATTTATAGGTGCATGGGTTCACATCCCATTCCTGACACCATGTTATGAGCTCCCGGGACAATAGTCTTGCTTGCACTTTGTCTTTATTGAACTGGCTGTAAGGTTGCTGACTGAAGTGACTGCCTTGTGACACAGCTACGGCAAACCATGAGGTGCATTGTTACAGTTTTGCAATTCTATCTCAAAGAGGCACCTAATTAAAATAGGAAAGCCTAATTAAAATAGGAAAGCTCTGTGTGTGCAGGCAGCTTCCACCCTGCTGGGGTGCAAGGGGGAAATGCAGCGCACAGCCATTCTTGCCTGCCTCCCTTCTGGTTCATTTTGCACTGGGAAGACTGGATTAAAGGGCTGGCCTAAAAATACAGAACATTTAGCAGTTCAAAGAATACAACCCAGTATTCCGAGTTACAACTGATATATTTTCTATTTATATTCAAATAGGCTTTTACATTTTTCAATATTTTAATTGGGAAAAATAAGCTCTCAACAGAGTTGATCTCTTAAATCCTGAATTGAATCCATGTCAGACAGTCAGCTCAGTTTCACAACTGAGCTCTGAGTTGTAATGCAGCTCATTGTGTTTGACAATCTCTGGTGTCAGATTTTTATTCACAGTGTGTCTCTGGAAAATAGCATATCCTTGGTAGAAAGTGTTAACAGTACAGCCTCAGTAATTCGTGTGAATGCTCACTCATTTCTTTTGAAATTAAACATCCCTAAAAGAAAATAAACACCGATTCATACATTTAACGTATGTGCAATCTGTCTTACTTTGATCGTGAATCTACATGCAAATCTTTCCTCAAAATTAACAGCTTTGGTCTTTAATAAGTGGAACTACATATCAATTGAATGTAAATAATAGAGAACACTCTTTTACATAGTTTTATTACATTCAGTTAGCAGACAACTCAGTCACATAGCCAGCCAAGTTGCAAACTGTCATTACAACGATGTACAGCAGTCATATGTAGCCAACCTGATCTGAAAGATCCACTCTGTCCAGTCAAAGATAGAATCAACCCAATTGTATTCAGCCTGTCAAACACACTTGACCGTCAAACTTTTCCAATCGGCAGCTTGACTGAGCACTAGCCAGCTGGAGAAAGTGCAGACAGCAGATGGACTGGTTACATGCAGATTTAGACAGCAGCCAGTCCACTGGTGTGCAGAAACATGTACAAGTGGGTGCATTAAATTCAGTCACATGTGCGCTCAGCAGCCAATGTATTCACACATGGAATTGCGAGCTTACTTAAGTCCAGAGAGCAGTCAATCTGCTTGTTTAGATCCACTGAGGTAACCGTCAAATGGCAGGAGACAGCATTCAAGAGAAGTAAATGACTGAGCATTGAATCAATTTAGAACAAGTCATGTAAAATATTCTCTATTTTGTTTTCCACAAGAAAATCTTTTATGTGATAATATGAAAAGCAAGTTTAAAGGGATCCTTAAAAACTTAACAGTTTTAAGGTAATCGACAAGGCAGCAATGGAGATATATTGAGAATCATTTCATGTCGTGTGTGGTTAAACTCTGGAATGTGCTGCCTGATAATGTGGTGGATTCAGACTCAATTGAAGTATTCAAGAAGGAATTAGATTATGATCTGAAAAGGAAGAAGGTGGGGGATTGGCACTAGTTGATTTGTTCATTTGAAGAGCCAGCGCAACACAGTAGGCCAAATGGCTTTCTGTGCTGTCATAATGCTGTAATTCTGTGACAATGTTAAACAATTGTAGTTCAACTTCTAGGTATGATTCACATTATTATAATTTTAGGGTTGATTTACTTAACTCAATAATAGATCATGAAGTTGAATCCAGAAATTAATTGATAACATTTAACTGAAAATATATAATTTTTGATGTGATTAATGAGTTTTAGATGAGAATGCACTTAATCACAATGTGCGTTGTTAAAATACTCAATTTCTCCAATGAATAAAGAAATACTTTCCTTTTGAAGGAGCAATACTGTTTTAAATTTTGCTCACAAGTCTTCCTCCAATTTTTGCCAAGCCACTCAGTATTGCATTATCCTATACTCCAAGATCAACCCTGTGCTTTTACTTTGTGAAACTACCTGCTTAAACCTTAAATTACAAAATGAAATAAAGATAACATGAAATATCTTGCCTGTAAAACTAAGACCATCTGTGCAGCTCATTTTGCTTCTTTTAATACTTTTTCCTCTTCTTTCCATCCAACTGTCCATCTCAGTGTACTACCCTTCTAGTTGAAGCCCCTCATCATTTTCCAGTTTCTCCTTTAAATATTCCAACATGCCAGATGTGGACTTACCCTTAAATAATCCACATTCCCTGGTTCTTGCCTAATATTGTCATAGTTAGCCTTCCCCAAATTTAGCACTTTCACCTGAGGACTACTCTTGTCCTTATGCATAAGTAACTTAAAACTTACAGAATTACGATCACTGTTCCCAAAATGCTCCCCCACTGAATCTCCAACCATCTGGCTGGGCTCATTCCCCAATGTCAGGTCTAGTATGGTCCCTTCCCTAGTTGGACTATTTACACATTGTTTTGAGAAACCAGCCTGGGCACACCCAACAAATTCTCCCCCATCCAAGCCCCCAGCACTAAGGGAGTTCCTCACTATCTCACCAAGGATCCTTGGACAGCACCTTCCTGACATGTGACCTTTATCACTCAGAAGGAGAAGGGCAGTGGATGCCTGAGAACATGATCACCTACCAGTTCCCCTCTAAGCCACAGACCACCCTGATTTGGAACTATATTCCCGTTCTGTCACTGTTGCAGGATCAAAATTTTGGAAGTCCCTGACAGTTTACTGACACATGAAGGTGTTCAAGAATGCAGCTCTCCATCATTGTCATGAGAGTAAATAGTGATGGAACATAAATTCTGATCGAGCCAGTGAGGCCCATATCCCATGAGTCAATATAAAGAAAATTATTGTTCCTGATCCCATCTGAAAATTGCCCACAAAGGTGGTATTAAACTTAGTTGTGGCACTCCCATCATTATGTGATATGTGTAGGCCTTGTAAACTTGCATGTGAAGGCTTATAAATTCACAAAAATGCCATTAAGCTCTTGATGCTTATGGATCCATATTCTGGTGTAAATCAATGCTGTCAGAACTACAACAAAAGAATTAATATTCTGTGTGAGTTACATCAATAGTTCTAAACAGATGAAATTGTGGTTTAAAGTTGAATTTAATGTGAATTATTTTCTTCCTTTTTAGTCTGAATACCTGTACTTACAAAAAGGTCGTGATATAAATATCTCTGTGAATTGAAGAAAAAGATGGTAAGTCAACCACCAAACCAGTTCATCACCGCCTGCAAATCTTGTGCACGTAACCTTTTGACTATGAAATCATGTCTCACAGTAAAAATAAAACACATCGAATCACTGGAAAACATTTCTTGATGTAAATGAAGTTTTGAATTGGAATTCTGATGTATGCCACGTCATTTACAAAAATAACTATCTGTTGAAAATCTATCCATTTATTTGTATAAATTACTTTGTTCACATTTCCATTACATTTATATAGGATGAAAGTTCCAAAATACCATTGTGTCACCATAAATTCTTAGATTAGATTTAGTATATCTCACTTTCAATGAAATTTTGAAGGTGGTGCCTTTAAATACCAACAGTGCATAGGCTGTACAGAGTGTAAGCTCCAAGAAGGCAAGCCAGGGAAGTGGATCAGGCCACATGAAAAGGATTGTGATTCTGTTTTGCATGGAGCATCTATATGAATTCAATGCATGGCAATAGCAATTGATCTTCTTTTGATCAATTATCTTTTGCCTTCACAACTGCTGATTCACAATGGAGTGTATATTTGCACTCAGTAATCATAGACCCCATTTGAAATACTCTGGTTTGGTTTGGATGCTGTACCTCAGGAAAGATATGATATTCTTAGACAAGTTGCAGCATAACAGTCAGAATGAGTTGCATAAACTTGATTCGTACTCCCTTGTATTAGGCTTCACTGGGGGAGTTTGCTGGAAATCAAACTAGACTATTCCTGGAGTCATCACAAAAGTTAAAGAAACTACAGAAGCACACAAAATTCCCTAATTTACTTGTTTTTCGACCCAGGTGTACAAAAAGTAATGGCCAGGTTGCTGTACGCAACAAGAATTACTATTTGTTACAAGTAAATTGACTCGAGCTACAAGTGATGAACTGTCAGCGTATAACTTTACTCATTAAAACTCCAATCCCCTTATACACTCCCTCTGTCTCACACACACACACACATACACGCACACATACATGCACATATACACATGCACGTTCACACACACGCACACACACATACTCACACACGCACATACATGCACACATACACACATACTGAAGTGTATATGTACGTTATGGACAGAGGGTAAACAGTTCAGTTGTCTCTGCTCACAAGGATCTGATCAGAAATCACATGACACGAGGTTATAGTCCAACACAAGCTTGAAAACACAAGCTTTTGGAGCCTCGCTCCTTCTTCAGGTATTTGTGAGAGAGGTGGCATCAGACACAGAATTTATATGTAAAAGATCAAAGGGTCACACCACTGATGAGAATGTATTAAACAAACCTAAGATGCTGTTAAATCTTTAATCAGTTAGAAGGTTTTAATTGTTTAATATGTATATGTAGATATCCAAATTTCTTTCAAGTCACTGCCTTGAGAGAACTAAAGGTTTTATCGGTGTAAACAAGAGGTGACATTTCAGGTCAGACAATGCATGTTAGGTGTGAGGATCTGCTGAGATGATTCTTGTGCTGATCAAAACGCTGCTTCCTTGTCTTCTGCAGATGTTTTACAGGAGGTATATGGGCAGATTCACACTTGTTAGATCAAAGTCACGGCTTACAACAACAGTTGGAGGGAAGATTAGCTGGTTTTCTTTGGTCTGAAAATAGCTTTTACTGTAGGGAAGAGAGGGAATGTCTGAGCTGGTGGTGATCTGAAGGCTTCTCACTATCTTGTTCACAGTCCCCAAGCTCTTCAGATGCCTGAGAACCAATTGCATAGCTGTTGGGAGACAGAAAGCCTTTTGTCATTTATACCTCATCACTAGTCCACAGACCAATTAACTATTTGTTGGCAACTAAATCTCAATTTCTTTTTAACCCTACAGCTTCAGCTCATTTGCAAACAACACTCCAACCGCTGCTGGAACCATCAGTCTCTCTATAAACAGTGTTTACAATGAGTGTCAGGTTACTTCCTTCCAAAACATTCAGCAATCAGTGATATTAATACATTTCCTTTCTTATTTCAGCCCACAATTAAAAACACAGAAAAATAAAAGGACATTGTCTTTACACTTAGAGTCATACATCATGGAAACAGACCCTTTGGTCCAACCAATCCATGCTGACCATGTTCCCAAACTAAACTAGTCCAACCTGCCTGCATTTGGCCCATTTCCCTCCCAACTTTTCCTGTTCATGAACTTATCCTAATGTCGTTTAAACATTGTAACTGCACCTGCATCCATCACTTTCTCTGGCAGTTCATTCCAAATGTGAACCACTCTCTGTATAAAAGATTTGCCCCTCATGTCCTTTTTAAATCTTTCTCCTCTCACCTTAAAAATATGCTCCCACCCTAGGGAAAAGACCCTTGTCATTCACCTTATCTACGCCCATCATGATTTTATTAATCTCAATAAGGTTACCTTCAACCTCCTACATTCCAGTGGAAAAAGTCCCAGCCCATCCAGCTTTTCTTTATAACTCAAATTTTCCATACCCAGCAACATCCTGGTACATCCCTTCTGAACCCTCTCTAACTTAATAATATCCTTCCTATAACAGAGCGACCAGAACTGGTCACAGTACTTCAGAAGAGGCCTCACCACCTCCTGTACAACCGCAACATGACATCCCAACTCCTATACTCAAAGGACTGAGCAATGAATGCAAGCGTGCTAAATGCCTTCTTTACCACCCTCTCTGCTTGCGACGCAAATTTAAAGAATTATGTACCTGAATGCCGAGGTCTCTCTGTTTTACAAACTACCCAGGGCCAATTTAGAAGGTTCAGGAATTATCTCATTGAATCAGTTAAAACTATGCAATAACTAGATTCAATAGAGAAAATGCAGAAAATCAATTTCCTCTTGTGGGAGGATCCAGAACAAAGGGGAATAATTCTTAAATTAAGTTAGGGCTAAAATCAGGGACCATTTGTTCACAGAAAAGGAAGTGGAAATTTGGAGGTCACCTTTACAAAAGATCATGAATGCTGGATCAACTGACATCTTCAAGACACAGATTGGTAGATTTTTGTTAGGTAAAGCTACTAAGTGATATGGAGCAAGGACAAGCAAATGGATGAACCATGATGTACTGGAATTGTGGAAGAGCTCATGGAGTTATATGGTCTACTCCTGCACTTAGAACATTAATTGAATAAAATAATTAATAATGGGTAATTAGTAGTATCTTAAGCAATAATGTTAACATACCAGACTACTTTTATCATTTGTAGCTCTTTCCAAAAACATTTAAACTGTTGCAGTTCTAGCTTTTATCACACTCAAATCCACACTCTATTTCCTGAACTTTGTCAAATCATTTAAGAGTCAGTTTGGGGAAAAGATCAGATTGCTAATCATGAAGAAAAGATCATCAGAGACAAGTTACTGCATTGGAGTAAAAAACACATTAAGGTTGCCTCATGAAATCTGCTGGTAGGGTCATAGGACCAAGTAGCTGTGCTGTAGTTGTACTTCTACCAATCTATAATTCTTATTTCTGTATAATATATATCCTGTCCCACTCAAATTTCCATTTGACAAGCTTTTGTTATCTTGCTTAACTCATTTACAATGGCTGTCTCTATTGCTTATCCAATTAATATCTTAAATTATGCAGTGTTGGGAGTACTATATTAATGCTATATGTTATGCGGTAAGAACAAGAAAAGCAACATTCTAACTCAAATGGAAACTATTGGAGATATTTTTGTACAATCATTCAATTCAGTTGAGTGAGAAATTGGTTCCCCAGGATTGTCATTAGAGTCAAGAACAAATCATTTTTAAATATACCTGGGTTACAGGGTTGTAAAAGGAATTGTAAAGTTGGTGCATTTGAAATTAAACTTGGACACCCTGTCAGCTGAGTTTTGTTATTAAGCTTCCACAGTCAGCAAAATGTAGAGATTTGTGAGAGCTCCAGGCCAAGCACAGCATTGAGGCAATATGTGAGTCTGGCAAAATGTGAAACTGGAGAGGTCCACCTGAAATTACAATTCAGCACTCAAACCAGTACATTAGAGAACAGCAGCAGGTAGAGGCTTGACAGGTATTCTTGTGTGAAAGACTGAAAGCCACAATAGAAGACAATAAAAACAATGGCAAAGCACATCCACATAACATATATGTATGTCACAGAAACAGGCTATGCAGTCCAAAAAAGTCCATACTACTGTTAATGCTTCGCTTAAGACTCCTGCCATCTTTTTTGATCGACCACTGTGACTGTATCTGTTCCCTTTTCCCTCTTTTGCTTGATTAATTCTTTCTTAAATGTATCCATATTATTCTCTTCAACCATTCCATATGGTAGTGAGGTTAACATTCTTACCACTTCTTCAGTAAAGACATTTCTTATGAATTCCCTGCTGGATTTCTTGGTGATTTTGTTTTATCAATGGTGTCTAGTTACCTTCTTCCTCGTGATATCTTTAGAGATCACTAACTTTAAGAGAAATTTGACACCCAGTTATTAATTGGAAGAAATAGTAGTAAGATCTGAACTTCGGTGAGAACATTAACATAACTGTTGTGATGAAGTTTCACAAGATAGTATTATTTAGAAACTTGTGTTCTAAAATGGACAGAACTACGTAGAGCTTTAAGTTTGATTTTCATTTCTATGTTGCATGCCTTAAGAAGGGAGGACACAGTTTTAGTTTCACTTTTGATTAGTTCTGTGAATTGTGCAAGTTGGCAGAAAAGTTGATGATGTGTATTTAAGTGAGTCTTTAAAAAAAATCATCTTGAGGTGAATACTTCAATGCTTTGGGAAACAAGAGTAGAAGAGAAGAAAACATTGGGTTCTTGCCTAGCAACAAGGTGTCCTATGACAAAGGAAACAGATACAGAAACAAGTTTCTTTTTTGAAAAAGAGAACCATCCAGAAAATTAAAAATTGGGCAATATGCTGGTTTCTATCAAAGAGAACAGGTCTATGGCAGCAAAGATGCTGTCAGCTTAGCATTCTCTAATGCTGTTTGGGTTGAAAAGAAGTCTTATTGGTCAGTAAGAGAAAACCTCCAGAAACAGAGGGCCACGGAAGAGGAGTTTAAAGAATCCAAGTTAAGAAATAAATGATCTATGTTAGCAGTTTGTTTAAGGGTATTTGGAACAGACATTGATCAAAATAAATGTCAACATTTGTGAAAGAAACCAAGTACCACTGTGCCCACTGAACAAGGAACTTTAAAATGGAAACAGGATGACCCTTCATTGATTTTTACATATATGTAAGGTTGTAGTTGAGGATAAAACAGTTGTATATCTCATGCTGATATGTGTAATAAGACCATTTCAAATATTTTTACTATAGTATAAAATAGCTTTTTTTTCTTTTGTGTTCTTCTTTTGTTAAAAGCACATTAGCAGTCTCTTGCAAAGATATTCCATTACTGACCACAATGGTAAACAGTAGCAAAAATAAAACTTATGATCTGTCAAGCCAGGATTCTGATTCACCCAGTATTTCCATCAGCTGGAATTATAAGGCTATATACAAGCAATGCTGAGGTATTATGGTAGTCTGCAGTCTCTGGTCCCAGTTCCATGTGACCTGATGCCATCGTGACAAAACTCCTTCTGCACATGTTCACTAGCTATTCTTGGCGCAAAGGTATAGTTAATCTTTCAATCCAGAAATTGTACAAGATTTCACATTTTTCTTTGAAAACAAACTTTACTGCATGTAAGAATTATCAAACAAATCAAGCACTCTTAAAATTAATAGTATCGTTTGTCAAGACTTGCAGTATAAATTCAGTTCCTTTTTTATCTCCTAATTCTTCGCGAAATTCTTTTTATGTGTTACAAAATCTTGAGCGTCAGTTCATGTCTCCTGTTGGAATTCAAACCAAGCATACCGGAGCTCTTAAGAATCTACTAGCATTTTCCCTCAGTGTTTCAGTTATTCTCTGAGGTAGACTATTTCATTGGGACCCTTCCAGTAGTTTTTGGTTATGTGATCCTTCAACTTTTCTTCAAAATCCAATGAATGTGAATGTTTTTGCTCAAAATTTGCCCTCACTGCATTCCTCCTTAGTTTCACCCCTAGTTCCTCATAACCACGATAGTCTTTGCCCTGGCTTTGAACCAGCACTGTTACTATTTTCAGTGCGGGTGGACTGAGGAAACAATGCTGGTCCATCTGTTGCCTGATTCCTTGAACTAGACTTTTCCAGCCTTTTTCGGGACAGGCTGGGAGGTGAATGGGGTGCCATAAAATACTAAGGAAAGGAAGGAAATGGAGTGCTGTCATCTTTTTGCAGCCAGAGTATTTTACCAATAATGGGAAAAGCCAATTGTACCACTTAAGAGCCTTTTTCAACAACCTCTGGCATTTTACCAGTGATGGGTAGTCTACCATTGCACAGAGAGACCACCTGGTAAATCTTGCAAGCTTCGGGCAGTTTGGGGGCTGTTCTGTTCTAGCACCCTGTGGGAGGGGACTGCTGCTCTTAGGATAGTGGCAGTGCACTGTTGTAGTTTCAGATATTTTCTGATCAACCTGTTCAAAGATGTTATTATATATCTCTGGTGCAGGTGGGACTTGAACTCAGGCCTCCTGCTTCAGAGGTAGGGACACTATTGCTGCTCCGAAAGGACTTTCCAGTCCCTCGTTTTATTTTCTAGTCTGCATGTTCAAAGTTATTATCTCACGCCTCTAGAGCAGGTGGGACTTGAACCAGGGCCTCTTAATTCAGAGGTGAGGATGGTATCATTGTGCCACAAGAGCCCAATCCATCCATGGTTTTTATCTATTTTTCTAATCAACCTGTTCAGAGTTGCTATCTCACATCTCTAGAGCAGGTGGGATGTGAACCCAGGTCTCTTTGTCTAGGGGTAGGGACACTACCCCTGTGCTACAAGAGCCTAATCCCTCCTTGATTTTTATCCTTGTTATACTTCTTTGTAGCAGTTGGGTAGAACTAAGTGGTGAGTTGAATTATTTTAGCAGACAATTGAAAGTTAACTTCCTTATTTTGGATCTGGTGACTCATATCATCTGGTCTGGGCAAGGATGGCAAATTTTATTCCTTAAAGGGCATTTGTAAACTAGAGAAATTGGTTTTAATAAAAATTCGGTTGTTTTATGGGAATCATTACCAATACTTGTGTGAATGGTACTGATATTACCAGCATGGCTTGTAGGTCTAATTCCGAGAGAGCAGCAAGGTTTCTATTCGACATCTGAATATATTAACACACTTATGCTTTAATTCCCCCTCTCTAAAACAGAATTTCTCAAAGTTAACAAATTACAAAATATAAACAAACATCAATAAAATACTAATATGTTAAATTTGTGTACAGTTGGATTAACTGCTGCTTACAATTTATCAGATATTATCCATGGCTTAGTAATTATCTGTTTCCATTTTAATAGGTGAGTACTCTGAAGAGTGAAGGCACAGTGAAAGGCAAGCTCAATGTTGATATCGAGAAGAAAACTCTGGAAGAAGTAAAAGAGGATTGTTTTGGTTTGACAACATAAACTAACTTCTCATTACACTGTACACAAAAATGACTCTTCATTATTCCTTTGAGTTGAAAAGCAACCATGAACAAGTTCATCTTCATAATAAATATTTCATTTTGATGTTTTAAATTAGTATTATCTTTAGCTGATAGTGTACATCCTTGTACTGAAATAATTACAACCTTTCATTGGACTCAGTTACTGACAATGGAATATTACAGAAGTGAAATATCTTGGTTTGCATCATTATTTGGACGCCATTTCAATACAAGGGAATCCCTAGGGTTTAATGAGCAAGAGAAAGCATGACTTATTGAGAATTTTTAAAAATGATTTAAGTCATTCAAAGCTTACCCACATCTTTCCTAGTGTGCACCAAGTCCTGTTCACTCATCACCCAGTGCTTGCTGATCTACATTGACTCCTGTTTAGTATTGTCTTGATTTTACAGTTCTTATCTTTGTTTTTAAATCAATCTGTGGCCTTGTGCCTTGTCCTTCTCTTTTTCTGTAATCTCCTCCAATGATAACTGCCAAGATATTTGCAATACTTTTTGTTTTAGCCTCTGGAGCAGCCCTGATTTTAATTGGTTCACTCACGGTGACTGTGCCTTTTAGTTGCCTTAAGCTTTGCCATTTTCTCACTAAACTTTGCCAATTCTCTATCAAACTTTACAACTTTTAAGACAATCCTTAATATCTTTGACCAAGCTCTTGGTCATCTGTTCTAATATCACCAATGTGGTTTGGTTTTATGTTTCATTTTATAATAGTACCATGAAGTTCTTGGGATATTTCATCAAATTAAAGGCACTATATAAATATAGCTGTTGTTATTGTAAAAAATTTATGATGATGTTGCCAGGAATGAGTATTTGCATGTGTGAACATATAGTTGAAAATTTGACATTGTCTCTCCCACTAGAGCTGAGGTTATGGGTGACCTGATAATGGTCTTCAGGATTAAAAAAAAGCATTGTTTCCAATAATATGGCTATATGAGAGCACAAACTTAAAGTTATCATAAGAAGTTAAAGTGGAGATAGGAAAAAATATATCTTTGCACAGCGGGTGGGAATTGTGGAATTCTTGGTCACAGTTGGTTGGTGCAGCAGAGTCTACATTATTTTAAAAGGAATTAATTCTGTTTTTCTGAGGGACAAAAATTTTAGTGTGTTGGGATGTGTGGAGCAAATGTAATTGTAGGATTATATGGAAAAAGACACTAGTATACACTTGATGAATCCTTTGGCTTGTATCATGCTGTGTAGAATGTGTAATGTAATTTTAGCCTTTTGTATTTTACGTATGAGTTTTTGGAAATCAGATGTCTCTAACTGGACTCAATATATATGTGTCGAAGTTGAATTAAAGTACATTTATAGATTTGCTGGTCTGAATATTTTGTCAGCCATATTATTGATACTTATTTAAAGCACACTGAAATTATTTTTTAAATTGTTTGGCATTTTTTTGATGAATCATGGTTGTTTACATCTATATTTATGCATAGATTTTCAGTCTGATTAACCGAAACACATTGAGTTGCAATTGTGTGAACAGAACCATGAATTTATGACAGTTAACTCCTTGAGTTATTGTCAGTACCTGAGAGCTTCTATTGGAATGCATGAGAACGCTAGATAACATGACATTGTATGGACTTGTATAGGGATGACATACAGTATATAGAGTGAATGTCTTTTTCTTCATGATTTTTACATTTTAATCAAATAAATAAAAATATCTATTATTAACGTTTTTATGTTTTGGTCTGATGTGCTTAATAACACTCAAGAAGCTTGGCACTATTTAAGACAAAGCAGTCTACTTTACTGACTCACCATCCACCATCTCATTCATTCCTTCCTGTACAAATGCACAGCAGCAACAGTGTGTACCGTCTGCAAGATGTGGGGCTGCAATTCTCCAAATTCCTTTCGAGCACACCCAATAGCACTATGGATGTACCTGCATCACATTGACTGCAACAGTTCAAGACGGAATCTCCCCATCAACTTCTCAAGATCAATTAATGATCGGCAACTACTGCTATCATAGCCGGTGATGTTCCTTTCCTAAGATTGAGTTACAAGGTTTTTGGAATCAAATCTGGCATTTAAAAATTAACATGTAACTCACTTTATGCTGCTGCTTGTCACTACTCCTGCCAGGGATCTGCTATCATGGTGTGCCACACTCACCTATCTCATACTGTCCTCACACAATCCACTGTAGCTTGTCTGCAACAATTCTATATTCCAACAACACCGAGATCACCCTCTGATTTATACGAGTTATTACTCCAAAATTCATAGAATCCCTACGGTGCAGAAGCAGGCCATTCATCTCATTGAGTCCACACCAACCCTCCAAACAGCAGCCTACCCAGATCCACCTCGCTACCCAATCCCTGTAATCCTGCATTTCCTATGGCCAACCCACCTTGCCTCCACATTCCTGGACACTATGGGCAATTTAAGCATGGCCAATCCATCGAACCTGCACATCTTTTGGACTGTGGGAGGAAACTGGAGCACCCAGAGGAAATCCGCACAGACACAGGGAGAATGTGCAAACTCCACACAGACAGTCACCCAAGGCTGGAATCGAACACAGGTCCCTGCCACTGTGAGGTAGCCATGCTAACCACAGAGTCACTGTGCCATTGTTTCCTTTTACAAAGGAATTGATTGAATAATTTTTACTTCCCATGTCTTTCCTACTTGTGTTAATGGCTTTGTAACAAATCTTTAAAGGGTGGTGAGAACATCTGCACGTTATTAACTTTACCAACATGGAACTACCTGTGGACATTGCTGTGCTTTATTGGGTAACAGATTGGAATCAGAAATTAATAATTTTGCAACCTCGGGTATGGGTTGTTCAACCAGTTTTTCAGCTCGTTGACAGGGACAGTATCATCCAGCTAAGTAAAGTTTCTGCAAGTTTAAGAACCCTGCACATCTGTCATTTGTAAGACCTATTATGAGTTTGTACTAAGTTTGCTTAGAAATTTAACCAACAACAACCATGTTTTTTTTTAGAAAGGAGGGAGGGAACTCAGTTTGCCACCAATCTAAATTAAATCAGTCTTCCATGCTACCAAAAATTAGCATGTCTGATGTCAATCTCACACAATCATTCTTCAATCCATTCTAACACCAGTATGAAATGATGCACAATTTCATAAGCTATCATCATGATAAAATGAATCATTAGCCATATCTGAACATGCCTTACTCCATTTGTTGTCATGTCAACAACACTTCTCATTGTTGCTCCAATATCTAAGTTATGGTGACACGATGGCAATATTGATTAATAATTGAAATATGTGTTTTCTATGTCTACTGTGTGGTCTGCTGTCTATTCCATATAATTCTTCCTGCTTTTTGAAAATGTGACTGTCATTTGTAGTTGCACAAAAATAACATGGCAGGATCAAAATCATATTTAAATAAAGATTTTTGTTCAAGAGCTGTTGTAAGATTCTATTTTCTTTTATGGCTCACTATAACTAATCCCTCCCATAAGCAGAGACCACAGTCCTTATGAGGATTTCTTTTACCAGCCAATATCTGGGCATTTTTACACTTGACCTTTCAGTCAAAATTGGTTCCAATTCTTAATCATTCAGAATCAACTTACAGAAGAAAAAGGTCATCAGTTGTTCTTTAAATATTAACGGGGGATAGTTTTGACATTTGAGGATCAGTTAGTTGTTATTTATAGAATGGTTCTTGACAACAATGTCCTCATTCTGGCTGAAATAGCTCATGAGATTTGCCTCTTCTTGCTCCATTAAAATTGTGACACCATTAAACCATGATTAGCAATACATGGATAATGAGGAAGCTACAAGAAGAGGGAAAGTTTTGACATTGGGTGACAGTGTAAAATGGATGAAATGGGAGGACTTCTCAATTGAATTGAAAATTGGGATAATTGCAGCACAGATGGTTAATTTTATATCTCATGTCTTAATTGATTATCCAAACTTAATGTGCTCATTCAAAACCTTCAGATGAATGAGCATAATCTTAATGTTATTTTTATAATTTAGACTATTCTTAGTGAGAAATGATTTATTTTTGCCTGAATAACATAAACACTGCAAACCCAACATTGCAAATTTAGGCCTCTCTTCCTCTGTTTAAAGAGAAAAGAGATTCTTGGAATTATACACATGGAATCTAATCAATTTACTCGTTAAAATGTTTTAGGTATAATTTCATCTTGAGAAACAGAGAGCAGTCTTGTTCAAAAATTCCAAAGAAGGAACTGAACTCAAAACATTGTCTCTTGGAAGAAGCTGCCAGACCTGCTGACTTTCTCTTTGTTTTTGTTGTAGCACTTAATTACAGTCAATAGTCTTGTTTTATCAAAGGAAAGGTTTAAATTTGTCTATGAATGGTTGAGTAGCATACATGCCTAAAGCAAGACAGAGTGCTTTAATCCCTTGTTTTCAATTTTCAAGCTCTGGCTATTTGGTTCAACAATCTTGCACAGGCTGGAAAAGTAAATGGATGAGAGCTTCAGTTGGGTGACTGATTTCATGGTGCCACAAAATCAGCTTGGCAATACTGATCAGACACCACATGAATTGATGGAGGCTGCTAGTTGGCACTCTCAGGCTGAAGCTTCTCAAGGATATCAGCTGGAAACATCTCATGGGCACCTGTCTGGGCTTTTTAACCTCTGATGCTGCTAGCCACTAGGGGGCAATTTATTGGAAACCTAAATGGATACCTACAACAGGTAGAACACTTAAGGTCCAGCCTTGGCAGTTAATAATGTGGTACAGTTTTTGTAAATAGTAAAGTTATAATCTTTTAACACAATTTTTTTATGGTTGCATATTCCAAATATAATTACAGTGTTAGTTGACATGAATATCAGTGTTGGTCTTGAACCCAGAGTTTAATTTCATGAGCAGACAAGTGGAATCCTCAAGCCATGACCTCAAGACAGGTCTATTTTATTTTGCATGCATCATCCTCCATGCAGCAGGATCATGGCTTGAAGACTCTATTGGTTTGCTCATGGAGGAGATCTATTTGACTCATAGTTGG